AATTAAGTGTTAAAAGTACATTCTTTATCATTGTTTGCTATTTATCTATGTAGGTGCTATCTAGTTTTTCGTTTTACAATTAATAATATGAGAAATTGATTACGCCAGTTATATTTTGTGGTGTTGTGAATGTTCCTTAATGCTTGACGAAAAAGAATAATCATAATGTCGCAACTTTTTAGTACGACTATACTATTGACACTTGCCAAAAATGAATACCCATATAGATGGATTTTTGACAGATAAAAGAAGTCCTCACATGGTGAAAGAAGCTCATGATAAGAATATCAAAAATTGTGGGATCTATTATCATATGACAATGCCTTAGAAAGCAGCATTGTTGTTGCAACAACACCTCAACTGTAGAGAGGCAACAGAAAATCATCTTCTTGCAAACACAAATCATGTCAACTCCATCTCAAATGCAGGGTAATCTTGCTATTACACCTTCCTTCTACTTCAGAAATATGTTAGAATATCGAATCTTCTATTTATTTCTTTCCTCATACATCATATATATGAATATAACAATGGTTATGCATGAAAACAATGGTATCCGTCCAACTTGCATGCTCTATCATAGGGGTGTACAAAGAAAACCGACAAACCGCACCAACCCGATAATCCGAGTCAAACCGAAAAAAAAAACCCGACTATGGTTTGGTTTGATTTGGTTTGGTATTGGAAAAAAAACCCCGACCATAATTGGTTTGGTTTGGTTTTAACTAAAGAAAGTCAAACCGAAACTAAACCAACCCGACATTACATATATAGAAATTTTAGATTTATTTAATATATAAATATACTTATTGTGATGCAATTTATAAATATTTCTTAAAAACTTTCATAATTTTATTTTTTAAGGTCTTATTTCAAGGTTGGACTTAGAACTTTTGAATGCTCCAATAAGTTTTATAGTCATTAATATTAGTAAGTTAAATAATGCTAACAAAAGCCCAAACCAAAATCAAATCAATACTAATACTAAGAAAAGACATTCAATTCAATATTACGAACGAGAATGTATTAAATATTTATTTTTTATTTTGCAATAATTTAGATAAAAATGCATAACCTATTTTTATTTTTCTTTAGCGTTTAGTCGTGTAATTAATACTCCCTTATTAGTCTATTATTTTAGCATGACTTAGTACTTTTAGATTATGTTTCTTTTTATTATGGCTTTTTTAATTAGTAATATTTATATTATATAATTTTATTGTCTTTATTGTTGAATATTTTAGGATAATGCCATGGCACATCTCATATTTTTTATTATTTTCTTGAAAATACTTTATATAGTTGTATCTTACTAGGATTAAAGAAGTATTTTGAGCATACATTATATGTTTTGTTATACGAAGATTTTACCGGGTTATTACAATATGGAGGATTACCGTGTTACCAGTAACTTATTAGGTAAAAATATTATGTGATAGTATACCGACGACATAATATCTTTAACTCATTTAAATTTACTTTCATTGTTCTCCTGTCTTATTTATGTGTCGAGGCATGTACCTATTATTTTATATATGTAGACCATTTTATGTGCGTAGCTGATTTGGATATTTATAGTGGTAATATAAAGAATGACTCTGTATAGTTTATATAAAATCATATACTGTGAGAAATTTAGTTGAGTGAAGAAAAAGGAAAAAACGTACACGTAAATTTTCTTTTAATCAAATTCTTGGTGTGGCATTGAACACCATGATATTGAATGGGGCTTTGGCTACTAGATCCCAAGAAGAAGAAAAATTAACTAGAGTTGTGGCTGAGAAGTTATTTATATATACGTCAAAAATGGTCTTTTATTTTTGATATTCATCGATAATTTACAGCACGATAGATATTGCTACAATATAAAATATATTAAATTGCCTAAAGGAAAATATATTTACCTTTTTTAACTTCATGTGTTGTTTTATTTTGTTCTTAAAATTCCTTATTTAGTTAAACTATATTGATTTATTTTGGAAGTGTGTTTATGACAAGAATTGCATATTTCTTAACACCTAACTTTTTAGTTCTCATTTTTTATGAGCAGATTCCTAGATATTGCTCAGAATGCATTGGCCATTAATTTTATTTTATTTTCCTTTCCCTTGTCCATCTTTTGCTTTTTCTCTAGGAGTTCCTTGTGTGGATGATCTTTTATCAAAGTTGGATTCTCTTTTTCATGCAGGTGGTTGGAACATTGTCCTTATTGGTTGCTCAATCTCCCAAGCTACACAAATACTGGTCTTACACTTGCTCACCGTGTTTATTGTAGTTGGTAAATATCTTAATTATGATATTTATTTGCTTTTGTTTGCCCTCTAACATACTATTAATATGCCTATCACCTCTGTTGAGTTCAAAATTGAGTAGTGTGCAGTTAATAGTAGTAATCACAATAAAACAGTCATATATTCTTCGACGGAGATATAATTTCTAAATTTTACTGTTGTAAATACATAAAAAGTTATGGTGACCATGAGTTTTTTCATTTTTTTTTATATTTTGTTGTTTATATGTGTATCATTTTCTCATTTTATGACTTATGATCTTTAACTATGTTTCTCTTCATAGTTTGAGCGTATAATCATAGTTACTTCATCATAGATGATCTCTTCATCAAATTACTTATGTTTTTCTTTCAAGCGTTCTTCTTTTCTGATCTTCAGCTTAGGCTTTGTTTGTAGAGCGAAGAAATATATGTACTCTCTGGCAATTAGGGGTATTGCATTTGCTTCGCTTCATCAGAACGACATATAATTTCATAAATTCTACTTACAGTCTTTAGAGTCAAAGGCGGATCAAGGATGTTTGAAGGATAGGTTCACTATTAATTTTTTTAAAAAAAATTAAACCAAAAAGTTGGTAAGGGATTTGATCCCCTAACCTTAGGCTATTGGAAATAAGAGACCAAAACCAGTGCACCACTTAGTCTCTTTTGATCATGGGTTCCATCAAGTATATATATCTATTTTTTCCAAATTATGTACATCATATCCATACTTTAACCCGAGGACCACGGGTTCACGTGAACCATGTTTCACATGGTAGATCCGCCTCTGTTTAGAGTTATAATTTGCTTTAATTTGATCAAGTAAAATTTATTCCCTTTGGTTGATTAAAATTTTATAATCTTTATTCAAAAAATTTATATTTTATACTGGAAAAATATTATAAGGTGTAATTACCTTATAAGAGAATAGACTCCCAGACGTACACATGTGAAAAGTTTACTTTTTTAAGTACTGTTTTATTTCTCCTCCCTCCTATTTAAAGTCCTTTTTGTAAGAAGTTTTTTTCCCTCTCTGATGCCTGCATTGTAATTTATGTTTATGTTCAGAATCTCATGATTCTATTCCTTATATTTGTGTTACTTAAATATTTAATAAAAAAAAAAAATTCTCATAGCATATATTATTAGCTTCTTTAATATTTTAATTCCTGAGTTTCCACTACTAAGGTTTTCCTCCTCCAATTTCTTCGCCCTTCTCTCTTTAGTGATTTTGTCGGTTCATTACTTTAGTATTTTTCTGTTGTCTTTGAATCTCTTTTTAGGATGGTGGACAGCGGGATCGATCTCTCATTCGTGATACTTATCCGTTCAAAGTGTGAGGAAGATCGATGGAGTTGAATGCGACAACTCTAAGAAAGGATTTAGTACTTTAATTTGTCCGTGATTGTTTTGAGTATTATTTAGCTTATGCAAACTCCTTTCGCTCTCCGTTGTATCTTTGTTGATTCGCGACTTTTGCCTTTGCATTATTCTTCTTATAATATAGCTAATGACCTGAAGATTTAGAAATTGCCTTTCCTCTATTCTTATCCATCTCCTATTAATAAATTTTCTTGGCGTTAAGTGTTTATCATTCGGAAAATCTACTCAAACCCTGTGTTAGAAAAATGGTATAAGCATAACTTTGTATAGTTTTGTCATGTAAAATACCTCATTTGGCCATGTAAAAATACAGTGGCCAACTGCGAATAAGGCTGAATGTTAACCTCAATAAATAGTCATACTACAAAAATAAAAAGAAAGGAAAATACAAAAAATAGTCCTTAGCTTGTGAAATTTTTGCTTTTAGAAATCGATAAAAGATTTGTGAAATTTTTTGCTTTTAGAAATCGATAAAAGATTAAGGGGTACGACAATAATACATGTATGGAATGGGAAAACATGGAAGAAATAGAAAGAGAAATGAAAGAGGAGAAAGTTAAAAACTAACAAAGGATAACATCGGCATTATAGACAATAGTTGTACGAGAAAAAGAACACTTATTTTTTATGCTCTCTTTTATGAATGCTTCAAAAGGAATACTGTTGTTATTTAATACATATGTTTGACATCTCTTATAAATTGACTAAAATTTGTAAATTCACTAGTTTAACCATAATTGGGGGCAACTTCAATTGTTATTGCTAGTTGATTGACTAAAAAAGGAATTAATTTCTTATAATTCAAGAATTGGACTAATAATTAAAAACGAATTTACACTTTCAATTTACATAATAAGTTAGTACATTTTATGCACACTAATAATGTAATGATTATTCACATTATCAAGATATATTAAAAGTTATTGCGTTCAATTGTGTATAGTAAGTATAAATAATTACTACTTGAAAAAAAGCTAAGAATCTCTGCTTAATAAAAAGGAAACCAGGGGTTCTGTCAGAGACCGTTGAACTGAGGTTTGGAACGCAGAAGTGTTGAAGTTAGTATTCCGTTGAGCTATATAGAAAGTTCTTTCAGATAGCGTTGAGCGCTACTGGAGCTTGGTTTGCCGTCGCCGCTGAAAGCAAGTCGCGGCCATTGCCTTCTCAGTCCCGTCGCCGGCGACCGAAAGAGAAAAGGTAAAACAAATAAATTCGATTTGATTGCTTTTCGTTTTTCTAAAGTTACCTTGTTAATTGCTGAAAAAATTGGAATTTCGAAATAATTAAATCTGGTAGTGTATCGATTCAAAGGTAGTCAAGGTAAACTATTTAGGGAGTTGGTGAGTTCTTTATATCTCTCTCGAGAGTAAATTGAATGAATTTGAATTGTGATTTTTGAGCTTTACGTGTTATTTCTACTTGTTAGTTGTTGAAATTAAGTTGGTTTAATTTGTAAGTTTTAGTTGAATGAGATTTGTTTCTGAGTTGTGAATTCATTTTTGAGTTGTGAATTTCAGAAATTTATATGAGTTGTAAATTGAAGGAAATTCATTTCGGAGTTGTGAACACATTTGTGGATTGACTAGAAAGAAATTCTGTTTGAAAGCATAACTAATAATGCGGACATCGATGATTTTCAAAACATGAAAACTCAAAGAATTATTATGTTTTAGAATGACTAATGACTGCAATAACAACCCCAGTGAAATCCCATAAGTGGGGTCTGGGGAGGTGAAGTGTACGCAGACCTTACCCCTGCCTAATGAAGGTAGAGAGGCTGTTTCCGAAAGACCCTCGACTCAAAAGAATGACTAATGATTGCATCAAATAAAAAATCAGGAGTTACATTTCACATTAATAATAATTTCGATTCAATTTGCAAATTACATATTTTTATTTGATACTGATTCAGATATCACAGCCAAGTCTCGTTACAAATCTAAACTCATCACTTTATTTATAGTTTGATTTCTCACGAGAGTAAGAAAAACTTATGAATTTGACTATTCAATTAAAATGCTGTAGCTTGATTACTTTTGTTTACGAGCAGTGAGTATTACTTTGTTTGTAATAACTACTTTATGGTCGTATTATTAAAGGTCGTACCAGTTAAAATGGTGCAAACTTCAGTCCTGTAAGGACTAAGAAGAATGAGGGTGAAGTGAGCTAGAAAGGATTGTCAATTGTGGTGCCTTAGCAATTTTAGATATGCATGCTCGGCATTCCAAGAAAACGACATAATAGATGAAGCCAACACAGAATTAAAAACGATAATTGTAATGGAGAAGATCATTGGACTGAGATGAGCTTAAATGGAGTCACATGGATAGTAAGAATTCATATAATTGACCCCTACCTGTTTGAGTTTAAGGCGTAGTAGTAATAGTCGTGTTTGTGGTAGTTGAAATGGAGAAGAGACCTATCAGTGTGAAAGGCAAGTTCTTTTCATTAAAAATAATGTGACAGGCAAGTCTATAGAAAAGGTTGTGAGACCAGCAATATTTTGCACGAGTGAGTGCTGGGGCCTCTAAGTTCGACATAATTCAGGATGATTATCATAGATATGTGGATATCAAGATGGATGTGCAATTATATAAGATACATTATAAATGAACAAATTCAACAGAGGGTGCAGCCAGCAGACATTGAAGATAAAATGGGAGAGATTGCTTGAGGTATAGATGGACTATCTTTTTAAACCTCCAAATGCACCAGTTCGTGTAAAAGACTTATTGAATGCACCATGTATTTGAATTCTTCTAGGAATTTGTTAGATTATAATTAAGGCTTCAAATTGGTGGGAGAAAAGAGAAACTAGAAATATTTTCTTTCTTGTAAGTAATTTGTTTTATCTTTATCATTTGGCAGTTGGAATCCTTCGAATCAAGTCCTCAAGTCGCAGGTTAGAATGCTTTTGTATTATGTAGTCTGGAGTCACACGAGTCAAAGCTCACTCCATCAAGTCACAACTGGACCCAAACAATGTTTGCTACTCTTGGTACCCGACGGTTCTTCAACAAGCTCCAGCCTTTTCTGTGCTCCTCTGTCAGTAGCTGTTCTTGGTTTAGCAGAATTATTATTAACCATGTACATTCCTTCGCGCAATCCAAACAGAGGAGATCTGTCCGACAAGGTAATCGACCTGTGAGCAAGTCTACCAGATCAATTCAGAAACAAGACGTAGATCTCCCTAAAGTTTTCATGAGGGATACAATTACAAGAATATCACATATACTGAGATTTTCAAGTTGGGATTCTGCTCAAGAGCAGTTGATGGGGCTTTCCATAAAATGGGATTCCTACACAGTTAATCAAGTTCTCAAGACTCATCCCCCTATGGAGAAGGCCTGGTTGTTTTTCAATTGGGCCTCTAAGTTGAAAGGGTTTAAGCATGATCACTTTACCTACACGACTATGTTGGATATTTTTGGGGAAGCTGGGAGGATTTCGTCCATGAACTATATATATAAGCAGATGCAAGACAAAGGAATCAAGATAGATGCAGTGACCTATACATCCCTTCTTCACTGGCTTTCCAACCATGGGGACATTGATGGGTCAATTAAATTGTGGCAGGAGATGAAAGATAAAGGATGTTTTCCTAATGTTGTTTCCTACACTGCATACATGAAAGTTTTATTTGATCACAATCGAGTTAAGGAAGGAGCCAAGATATACAAGGAGATGCTTCAATCTGGTTGTTCTCCCAACTGCCACACATACACTGTCCTCATGGAGCATCTTGCTGGTTCTGGTGAGAGCGATTTGCTTGTTCTTTTTTTTTTGTTGGGTAATTAATTTTTTTTTATTTACCAGTAATATTTACACATTGTTCTGTTTCTAGCCTGATCTGGACAACAGTCCCAGATTCAACTACCCGTCTTTCCTTCCCTCCTACTAACTGCTATACCTACTATTTAAACATCTAATTGAACAGTAGGATAGTAGTTAAGATCCATTAGTCTTCTCTGTAATCTCTGCTTGGAAGCCCCTCGACCATGTACATCTTGTGTTATTAATCTACTAAGTATTGCTGCTGACCTTTGCTTTGTTTGGAATATTCTGCCATTTCTTTCTTTCCAAATATAGTACAAGCTGCCGGCAGGCGTCAACCTGTATACTTCAGCTTTTGAGCTCCTTCCCTTGTAGTGTCTCTCAGCCCATGCTACCTCGTTTGCCCATGGCATCACCTGTCTGTGTATCCCTTGCCATTCCAACATTGTTGTCCACACTTGTGATGCTGCATATACATGGCCTTTATGGAGAACTTGTCCATTCCTACTACATCCTCTTCTGTATATCCAGCTTTCTCAAAGTAGTTCTTAGCTTTCAGTATCTTTTGAACAATCCAAGAGGCTTGCTTTGGCTCAGCACCCCACAAAGAGTTATGTTTCTTGTAGTAAATGTGAATCCATTGAACCCACGTCTTGTCCTTTTTCTTGCATAGGTTCCATAGGAGTTTGCAAACAGCTGCCCTATTCCATGTTCCTACATCAAGTAAGTTCAGTCCACCTGCTGCTCTAGGGTGGCACAGTTTGTCCCAAGCCAATAGCGCTTTCTTTGATACCTCCACCCCTCCAGTCCATAGGAATCTTTGATACAGTCTCAATTAGTTGAATCAGCTTCTTTGGCAACAGAAATACCTGGGACCAGAATACTTGAATAGAGAATAGGACGCTTTTGATGAGTTGTATTCTCCCTGCATAACATAGAAACCTTGAAGTCCAAGACTGGATTTTCCCTAACATCTTCTCAATGAGAGGCTGGCACTGAACTAATGATAGTCTTTTGGTACTTAGGAGCACTCCCAGATATCTAACTTGTAAGGTCCCTTTTGAGAAGCCTAAGACTTGCAATATCTCCTGTTGAATATAAGTACTTACTCCTCCAAAGAAAATAGAGCTTTTGTCAGTATTAGCAACTAGTCCTGAGGCCTTTGGGAATTCCTGAAAGCATTTATACAACAGTTGCACAGATATGATGTCTCCCCTACAGAAGAGCAGTAAATCATCAGCAAAATTGAGTTGGACAATATTCATTTTGGCACACTTAGGATGATAGTTGAAGTTAGGATCCCTCCTGAGTGTCTTCAGAAGCCTAGTCAAGTACTCCATAGCCAACACAAATAGATAAGGAGACAAGGGGTCTCCCTATCTCAAACCTTTCTTAGCGTTGAATGGTGTTGTAGGTTGTCCATTAATGATGATGGAATATGAGATAGTTGTCACACACCTCATAATCCATTGCACAAACTTCCCTGGGAGCTGCAGGTTTGTCAACACTTGTTGCAGATAACCCCATTCAACAGAATCATAAGCCTTCTTCATGTCCACTTTCATCATGCATCTAGGGGATACACCTTTCCTAGCATACCTTTCACTAGCTCATGGCTGAGAAGTATATTATCATGTATCAATCTACCAGGCACAAAGGCTGACTGATTCTTATCCACCAGACCATCCATCACTCCTTGAAGTTTATTTGTTAGCACTTTAGATATAATTTTGTATAGTAATATACAACATGATATTGGCCTATATTCAGTGACTCTGGAAGGGTTGCGCACCTTAGGTACAAGGGTAATTGTTGCGCAGTTTATAGGCTGGTACACATTTGTACTTAGAGAAGAACTCCATCACAGCATTTGTAACTGTATCTCCTTTCACAGGGCAAGCTCTTAAAAAATAATGCATTGAAGCCATCACAACCAGGAGCTTTGGTGTCACTAATACCTGTCAAAGCATGGTAGATTTCATCTTTAGAGACATCTGCCACCAGATGTAATTGTTGTTCTCTATTCACCAATGGGCCACCCCTCATCACTATTGGGTTGATAGCATGCAGTTCTATAGCTGAAGAGCCTAGCAACTGCCTATAGAACCCTATCACTTCCTCTTCAATTCCTTGCTTTGTTTGCACCAGATCCCCATTGCCCCTAATTAATCTTCTAATCTTGTTTTGGGTGTATCTGCTCTTCATACTTGCTAAGAAGTGCTATATCAGCATCTCCTAGCTTCAGAGCCACTGTACTCTTGTTGTGCTCAGTGGGGAATGATCAGTGCAGGATGGATCCATTACCCATACTTTTAGGTGTGGCATAGTCAGCATCCACTCAGCATTAACCAAAGCTCTATCAATCTTGCTGTAGGTGTGCCCATTAGTCCATGTAAAGCTTCTCCCACTGGTCTTCATTTCTACCAGTCCAGTATCTGCAATGAAATTCTTAAAGTCTCTAATCTCCATTTCTTGCACAAGGTTACTAATTGATCTATCCTCTCCTGATCGAATAGCATTATAGTCACCCATTATCAACCATGGACCTTGTTGTACAACCTGTAGGCTTGTCAGGTCACTCCATAAACTTCTCCTGTCATCTAAAGTGTGCAACCCATACACAGCTGTAAAGGTAAACCTCATATTCAGTCTCTTAATACTTACTGAAGCTTGTATGAACTGGGATGATCTTCCCAAATCCTTACAGTCTACCTCATTTGTATCCCACAGTAGCCAGATTCTTCCTTTACTACTATACTCATAGTTAGCTAACCTGGTCCATCCAGGAGCGATTTACCTGGTTACTTGAATGGCTTTTTGCTCTTTTATTTTATGCTCTAATAGTGCAATCATATTAACTTTATTACTTCTAATGAACAACTTGACCTCTTTTTGTCTAGGGGTCTTGTTTAGTCCCCTTATATTCCATGTGACCAGCTTCATACAGGTATAAAGAGGGATTGTGAAGAATCCTGCCCTGTATTACTTCTCTGCCTACTCGTTCCTCCCTCCATTTGCCTTGGTACTGGAAGCTGCAGTCTAGATTCTGTTAGGATATTAAAGCCATTGATCATGTTGATTGTATCAATTCCTTGTCTCTCTCTGCTCCTGGCTGCTGATTTCCCTATAACTTTTTGCCATGCTTGGTCCTCATCTCCTCTGGTTGGTCTTGAAATTGGATTCACAAGACTAGTGCTGCCATTTTCTCCCGCACTAGGAATTGCCATCTCCTGTTGACCATTGTCAGCTGTAGGGGCTTGAGCTTCCTGCACTTTTAGTACAGGTTTAGGCTGCCATTCCTACTTCTGCGTCTGATTCTTAGGTTTAGGATTTTGTCCTAGCTGGTCACCTGACTTGCACTTGTGACCTACTTGCAAATATTTGTGGCAGAATTCAGGTACCCAATCATACACTACCTCCTACATGAACTCCCTCCCATTAGGGTCAGTCACCTTGATAGATCTAGACGGTTCTTTTGTTACATCCATCTCAACCAACACTCTAGCATAGGAGATCCGATCCAGTTGAGTAGTACAAGTATTAGCATATAAAGGAATCCCCAAGCCACTACTGATCCTGCTCAATGACTTATTTCCCCAACAATTCAGAGGAAGGTTAGGGTACTTGACCCACACTGGGATGGTCTGTAGAACTTCTTTGTTTAAATCAAAATCAGCAGACCACACTTTCATAATAATAGGCTTATTGTTCAACATGTGAGGCCCTGAATACATCACTTCATCTCTGTCATCATTGGAATTGAATCTTACCACAAAGTATCCATCATTGTGGAAGTACACTTTTGGTTTTGTGGCGAAGTTCCAAGCTGAAGCAATAAATCGTTCCATGGCTCCTATAGTTGGAGCTCCTCGAACAACATAGATGATTAGAGCTTGCTTCCACTTTTGAGTTTGCTCCTCGACGTCTTCCTTGCAGAGCTCAACAACTACTTCACCATTTTTGAGAGTTGGTGCGATAAAAATCAGATCCATTCCCTTTGCTGCAAGTCGATTTCCTATAAATAGATTTGCCCATTGCTTTTGACCTATCTCTACATCAACACTTGGCAATTTCCCTTGAGGTTTGCTCGCCGCCCCTTTATCCCCAGTTGCACCCAATTCTCCAGTAATCTCTATAGGATTCCTTTCATTGCCTCAATTTTACTAGAGAGGGTTTACACTCTTCATCGGAGCTCCAGAAGCTAATTTCTCACTACTAATTACCTTAGAAGGAGGAGTTTTCATACCTTCCTTCGTGGTTGACAATGTCGGCCACTGTTCCATTGGTGTTTTCCCTGCATCTTTGATTGTAGTACTCTGTATTCCCGAACTTTGAGTGTTGCTGCTAGTCCCCGTGTAATCGACCAGCTGGATCGTGGTTGCATATCTCTTCAGTCTGCCCGTCCCCATTGCTGGCCAACGTACATTAGCACATGCACTCTATCGTGCGCTGAGAGAGAAGATAGAGGAAAAATATCTTTTCAGTGTTAGATTGATCTGCTTGTTCTTTTTTGTTATCTTTGGGGACATTGAATTAGCTCAAGTAGTGTACTTAAGGAAGAGCCCGCTCAAACCTTTTCTTGCTTCCCAGACTGCTTAGACTCCCTCCAATTCAATTTATGTCTCCAACTTTCCTTTTTTGTCTGTTTAAAAAAGGATTCACTTTTAAATTTTAGTAAGCTTTAATTCCAACATTCCCTTTTTACCCTTGATGTTAGGCCACAAGATTCAAAGGATATCTTTGATATGTTATACACACCTTAAGTTTAAGACCACGAGATTCAAAAGTCTTCTATGTATTCTCAAAATTCGTGCCCTATCAAACTAAGATGCAAAATGAAGATTAGAAAAAATAGTTAACAAAGTTACGCAAGACACTTTTGGGGAAGACAACATTTATGTTTGGTTTTATCAAGCTTGTGTAGAATTAAGTTTATCCAACCTTTCTATTAGTTGTGGAATAGTTGGTTTTCTATGTTCTGAAGTCTCTATAGCCTATGCACATGGACTGTCCATGGGTACATAAGTGATAAGTCTGACCCGAGTACGTCACACATAACATATTCTATAACTACTCTGATATCTTCCTTGAGTTAGAGGGGGTGGGGAACTGGTCCCAGTTTGGACCCGTGGTGTGAAGTGTGAACAGATATGTTGGGCAATGTGTTGCAAGATGTTGCTGTTTGAGCAGTGTTGGTATGCAATCAGTGACAAACTTTCTTTTCTCAGCTTCTCTAAGAAGAATTTTTTTTTGGTCTGTGTATTTCTTGAATGTCTCTGAGCCGAGGATCTCCCGGAAACAGCCTCTCTATCCCTTCGGGGTAGGGGTAAGGTCTACGTACATGGGTTGTTGTTGTATTTCTTGAATATCTTTTTTCTACTTGGTCGGAGGATGGGAGCTTCTGTTAGGAGAGTCGTGCTTAGGGTATCATTGTTTTTGAGTGCTAGACGTCTAAGAGAAGCGCTGATACCAGAATGTAGGTTGGCCGTGTAATCTTAGTTGCAGCTGAAGAGGCTAAAACCCCTGTCAATACACAGTAGACTTGGAGATAATATAAAAATCCAATAAACATTTACACATGAAAGATATATATTCCAATTAGTTCAAGAATGTCTGATAATGAACAACGAGCTGATTGCATCATTAAAGCACCATCTGTTGAGAAAATCGCAAGACAACACAATATGTTTCCAGACTGCTGAGTTTGCTTTTTCGTTGTTCGAATGTGCAATTAGACTGTTTTTTCATATAAAGGAGTGCTAAAATTTTCTTGTCAAGCATTTTTGGCTTTCTAAATGCCCATTTGCTTCTAAAAGACCTTCGTCTGTTCCTAGAAAGTAATGCAAACAACTAATTTATCTATGGTAAAGGAGTTGACTGGCTTCAAACTAGTAGGATATAACATATTGTCATGGCAGGGATGTTGGTCGACTGATATTTCTAATCTAAGTGTTTGATGATTTTAACTGATGGTGACAAATTTCTTTTCGTGTGTTTTTTTTACTTTTCCTCTTATCTAAAGGAAGCTGATTGTAATTCCAACTCACCAAAAAAAAGAAAAAAAGAAAAGAAAAAAAAGAAGCTGATAATAATTCTAACAAGTTGCAAATTTTGATTTCAAATTGTGAACACATTCATCCGGTCATTGTGCAACTCAGCATTACCTACTATGTCAATCGTTGTGGTGGATGTGATTGTTTCACTTCCTAACATAAAATTGTTGTCTGCGCATAAGATTCCCTTATATCACACCATTTTATTTGGATAAATAGTCTGGAAAACCATATCCTTTTATGAGACACTATGCATGAATTTAATTTTAAAGACCATATAATGTCAATATCCAAAACTGCAGTTTCCACAATTTTGACTCATTAGAATATTCGCCAAAGAATGAGTGACAGAAAGATAATAATTTCGAACTCCAAGTTGTCTTTGCTATATATAAAATAAGTGATTATGATCTTGAATTAGATTACTGTCACTTCGAATTCATGCTTTGATAGCTACATTGTGACTGCTTAGCTATTAAGAATCTTATTTGTACATGTACCGTNAGAAAATTTGCTAAAAAGACAGAAAGATAATAATTTCGACTCCAAGTTGTCTTAGCTCTCTATAAAATATGTGATTATGATCTTGAATTAGATTATTGTCACTTCGAATTCATGCGTTGATAGCTATATTATGACTGCTTAGCTATTAAGAATCTTATTTTTACATGTACCGCAACTGGTTTTCAGGAAAATTTGATAGAGTTCTCGAGATTTTCAGTAAAATGCAAGATGCAGGGGTTCAACCAGATAAAGCTGCATGCAACATTTTAGTGGAAAAATGCTGCAAAGCTGGGGAAACGCAAACAATGATGAAAATTCTTCACTACATGAAGGAGAAGTTTCTTGTTCTGCGTTATTCTGTCTATCAAGAGGCTCTTCTCAAGTTGAAGATAGCTGGGGTGAGTGATCGGCTACTCAGGGATGTCAACCGTCATCTGTCCTTAGAAAAGTTCAACCATGATCAGATTGACAGATCATATGGAACCGCTGAAACTACTTGTCTCACTTTGGATGATAAGATGATTTTGTACTTGTTGAAGAAGCAAAGTCTTTTTGCTGTTGATTACTTACTAGATAGCTTGATGAGTAAGCGTCTCAAATTGGATTCTGGAATAGTGTCAACTATAGTTGAGGTAAACTGTAACCGTGGTAGAGTAAATGGTGCTTTTTTGGCCTTTGAGTTCAGTGTGAAATTGGGCATAACCATTGAAAGAATTATGTATCTCATGTTGGTTGGCGAACTTATTAGAACAAATTCACTTTCAAGGGTTGTGGACATTGTTGAAGCAGTGGTTGGGGCAGGACTATCATTAGGGTCAGAACTAACTGCTCTTCTGATACATCGGCTTGGCTGCACTAGAGAGCCGACTTCTGCTGAAAAGTTATTTAGCATCTTACCTGATCAGCAGAAGAGTACTGCTGTATATACTGCTTTAATAAACACCTACTTCACTTGTGGCAATGCTGAGAAAGGACTTGAAATATTTGAGACCATGAGAAAGCGAGGGATAAATATGGCATTAAGTACTTACTGTGTCCTATTGAATGGTCTTGAAAGAAATGGCTTATTTGATAAAGTACAATCTTATAGGAAAGAAAAGAAGAAATTTAAATCTGAAAGCTGCACTACAGACATGTCTAACGAAGAAACAGTGTGCGATCTTCTTTTTGCTGGAAACTTAGTGGTTTGAGACACAGGTCTCCAGACGCTTTCTTTGAATGATTGGAGTATCTGGTGTACAAATTTAGCCGTTCTTTATAACTTGAGTTGTTCTGGATTTGCATAAGTTAGCGAACACAAAGTAGTGTAAGCTTTTGCTGTCTATGGTATGGCCTAATTTGTTTACAGAAGTGAGGTATGCTCAAGAGAGTATGCAGGAGAATTATCGCAGCTTATAGAAGCCCACATGCTGAAATAAGATTTTGGACTGGATAATCTCTTGCGAATCAAACTTAAATGACCTCTCGTCTTTGAAAAGTTTAACGTATCTTTAGAAGCTGGAGTAGAAGGATTGATTGTGNCCCCCCCGCCAATACTGCTTTATACAGGGAAAATTTCTTTCCCTTCCATTTAGAAAACCATGTTTATGAGACAGGACCTTCTTATATCGCCCAAGCTATGTGGCTAACTAAAGATAAAACAATCCGGCTGTTTGTAATGTGGACTTGACTAATCTGTAGGTACAACATTTTAAGCACTTCTCAATTCTATACTTTTGTCAGCTGACATTCTTGATCAAAGTTTCATAAAATAGTTTCTCATTTTTTTCATATTCTATAGCAGGTCATTGAAAGAGTCTATGGGGAGTTCCTATTTTTCCGGATGGTGGACTCTGCCATGAGTCTGATTTCTTCAAAGCATTTGCTCATTGCGGAAAGTAGAATTATTATATTATGAGGTAGCAAAGGAAGAAAAATCCACTGTGAAAGTCCATTTGGTACCTAGATCCCATTCCATCACATGATTAATTCCTCTTGGCTACCTCCAGCGGTTTGAACTGACAGCAGGGGTAAGTGATTCTCGCTCCAAGGAGCTGGTTGTATCACATCTCCTTGAGATTCTCCTTGTATAGCATCTCGGTTTAAAAAGCTGATCTTGAATCTTTGTGCAATGAGAATCTACTCGTGCCAAGTTCGTTTAAGATTGCCATTAAGCTATACTAATAATGGTCCTCAGTTTCTTGCTGAAGAACAGTACTACAACAACAACATACCCAGTATTATCCCACATGATGGGGTCTGGGGAGAGTAGTGTGTACGCAGACGGTACCCCTACTTTTGCTAAAGAACAATCTATATTAAAATATAAAGTTGCATTTGTATCAGTTCTGGTTTGAGAATGAATGACATATAGGCACTTGAAATGGAAACAGAAGCAGATGGTCTCGTTCCAAAGAGCTCTCTATGCTCAGCTATCCCACCACTATATTATCTTTGGTGAATTCAATTCATATACACTGACACTGTAATCAATTGACTCTGTGAGTATATTTTTGACTAATTATAGTAAGTTACTTGCCTTGTTCACTCCGAATGATCGAAGAATACTTTTGGGACTTGAGAAATCTTCTCAGAATCATCTTGTCAAGCTCAAGCCCATTTTGTATGGCATAAGCTGCTTCTTAGTAAATTATCCAACAATTTAAGAATATTTCGATCAGAACTAAGGTGCCATCACCATCAAAAGAGTATTACAAGGTACCATAACTTAAGGACCTGATTTAATCTTTTCAAATTATTTTATCTATCATATGGGGGATTGAAAGAAGAAGAGAAGACGGACAGTGAAAACTGAAGTCACACCTACCGCGTTTCCACTCTGATTAATACCACTACAAGTCTTGGTGGTAAAGGACTCGACTTAATTAAGGTTTCATTTCTAAACTTAATTTTAAGAAGGCGTAGATGGTAATTTTCATCGATGTTTTTAATCATTAATTGAAATTCAATTCATTATGTTTACTTTAGGGGTGTACATAGGTCGGGTTGGTTTGGATTTTACAATCACCAAACCAAACCAATTGTGTCGGATTATTAAATCTGAAGACCAAACCAAACCAATAAAACTCGGGTTTTTCAATCTCGGTTTTTCTCGGGTTTTCGGATTATTCGGGTTTTGTTTCCGGTAAAATCTTCGTAGAACAAAATATATAACTTGTGATTCTTTAATCCTAGTAAGATACAACTATATAAAGTATTTTTCAAGAAAATAATACAAAATATGAGATTTGTCATGACATTATCCTAAAATATTCAACAATAAAGATAATAAAATTATGTAATATAAATATTGCTAATTAAAAAGTCATAATAAAAATAAAAATAACCTAAAAGTACTAAATCATGCTAAAATAAGCAGACTAATAAGGGAGTATTGATTACATGACTAAACACTAAAGATTAAATAAAAATAGGTTATGCATTTTTATCTAAATTATTGCAAAATAAAAAATAGATATTCAATACATTCCGTTTCGTAGTATTGAATTGAATGCCTTTTGTTAGCATTAATATTGATTTGATTTTGGTTTGTATATTTGTTAGTATTATTTAATTTCCTAATATTAATTGCTATAAAATTTATTGGAACATTCAAAAGTTTTAAGTCTAACCTTGAAATAATACCTTAAAAGATAAAATTATGAAATTTTGTAAGAAATATTTATAAATTACGTCACAATAAGTATATTTATATATTAAATATATCTAAAATTTCTATATATATAATGTCGGGTTTGTTTGGTTTCGGTTTGACTTTCTTTAGTTAAAACCAAACCAAACCAATTATGACCGGATTTTTTTTTTCCAACATCAAACCAAATCAAACCAAACCATAGTCGGATTTTTTTTCCGATTTGACTCGGATAATCGGGTTGGTGCGGTTTGTTGGTTTCCTTTGTATACCCTTAGTTTACTTCTTGTTGCTTCCGCTGCACAATCTGACAAAATTTGAGACAGACCTTTATCTACAGGGATGGTGGACGAATTCTAAATCTTTACTTGGCTTAAATAGTTTGAGAAAACAATAAAAATAGATAATGTTAAGCTAAAATTGGCATCCGTATGTTATGGAAAACCCCCCAATAATGCTTGAACAAAAGCAGATAGGTAAAAAGTAGTAAGATTTATTACCAAGTTTTGGGTGGCTGTCTTTGTATAGTAAAACCCTACCACACCTATAGCTCTTAAAATGGTATATTATGCTTAACCTTTCACATTCTTCTATCAGGTTAGTAAAAAGTTCCGCCAAGAATAATAAAAAAAAAGAAACCTCTATTTGCATAATTGCCTGCTAATTTAAGTTATATATCTCCTTTCAACGCAAATCTTGGGCATCGACTTTTTTATCATTTTCTTTTTTCAAAGGGCATGACCAATAATGGAGATACACTACTATCCAAAACTTGGACATAGTTTTTGGGGAGATAGATAGATGTCTAGAGAGATGCATCGATAAAGAAAAATAGAAGTCCAATCTAGCTATTACTGTTATCGAATAAATAATATATTTAGTTCTATAATAAATGTTATATAAAAGAAAAGATATGTCAATAAATGTTATATAAAAGAAGCGTATATTCCATAAATCAAATTGCTATCCAAAACGGTAGCTAGACGTGCAAGCAATTCGTTCTTGAAAGAGTTCAATCTGCTAGTTAATTTAAGATTTTGTATTAATCATATAAATTAAAGAACCCTAATCTTCTCTTTGTTGTGTATGCTATTTTAAAAATATAATAGTGTCAAAAGGCATCCACGACAAGAGAACCATCAACTACATTGTGGGCAACCACTTATAGGATCAATGATCAAGGAGGGGAGGGATTTATTTTATTTTGAATAGGACTTATATCGTGCTATAAATAAAGTGGTAGAAACTATCTTTAAGCATAAAACATTAAAAGCCAAAAGTTCCAAAAAATATCCATAGAGGGAATTGTGTTTGACTAAATGGGGAACTCAAAAAGACATCAACTTGTGAATGCCATAACATTTTGCTTGGTTGCCACAAGTGTTGTTGCAGCCTATACACCTTATGATGATTCTCCACAGCAAACTATGAATCAAGAGAAACCTTATTCCCCAGGATCTGAATATAAGGTACCATCAGTTCCACAAGACACATCTAGCAAGGTTCCATCAGTGTCGAAAGACTATTACAAAGTGCCATCAGTTCCAGAAAGTACTTATTCTAAGGTGCCATCAGTATCAAAAGAGTATTACAAGGCACCATCAGTTCCAGAAATTACATACACTAAAGTACCATCAGTTCCAGAAATTACATACACTAAAGTACCATCAGTTCCAGAAAGTACTTATTCTAAGGTGCCATCAGTTTCGGAAACTACATACAGTAAAGTACCATCAGTTCCAGAAAATAGTTATTCTAATGTGCCATCATCTCCAAAAGGTACTTATACTAAGGTGCCATCAGTTCCAGAAATTACATACACTAAAGTACCATCAGTTCCAGAAAATAGTTATTCTAATGTGCCATCATCTCCAAAAGGTACTTATACTAAGGTGCCATCAGTTCCAGAAATTACATACACTAAAGTACCATCAGTTCCAAAAAGTAGTTATTCTAAAGTTCCATCACCATCAAAAAACTATTACAAGGTACCATCAGTTCCAAAAAGTAGTTATTCTAAAGTTCCATCACCATCAAAAAACTATTACAAGGTACCATCAGTTCCAGAAACTACATACACTAAAGTACCATCAGTTCCAAAAAGTACTTATTCTAGGGTGCCATCAGCTCCAAAAGGTACATATACTAAGGTGCCATCAGTTCCAGAAACTACATACACTAAAGTACAATCAGCTCCAGAAAGTAGTTATTCTAAGGTGTCATCAACTCCAAAAGGTACATACACTAAAGTACAATCAGTTCCAGAAAGTAGTTATTTTAAGGTGCCATCAGCTCCAAAAGGTATTTATAATAAGGCGCCATCAGATCCAGAAGATACTTATAGTAAGGTGCCATCAGTCTCAAAAGACTACTACAAAATACCTTCAATTCCATCTGTACCAAAAGATAATTACAATCATGTGCCTCAAGTCCCAGACCATGTTCACAAAGATACTTACGAAGTACCTTCTATGCAAAAGAATTACTACAAGATACCTTCAGGTCCTCAAAATTCTTACAACAAGGTTCCATCGGTACCCAAAGATTACAACAACGTACCTTCAGTGTCAAAAGACAACTATGGATCTAAGGTAACACTGCCAAAACCTTACTTCAAGTTACCAGCAGTTGCCTCGTACCGTTCTCGAAATTTGCCATTACCTAAGTATCCTAACCAAGAACATCCTAGTTACAACTCTTTTCCATCATCGAAGAACACAGAGAATTATCCATCTCCACCACCACCTTACTACTAAAGACCTCACATATTTTTTAGTGTTCGGCCATTTCTAGCAAAGTATATGAAGGACATATTCATTGTCAATTTGGGATTCTGATGAAGGCCAAGTCAACAGAAGTACGAACTGCCAAAATTTATCATCATCATCATTATTATTATTATTATTATTATTATTATTATTATTATTATTATTATTATTATTATTATTATTATTATTATT